TCGTCCGTGGCTGTGCATATTGTTTTACCCTCTCTTGTCTCGGAGTCTCATCTTTTTTGACAGCCAAACACATACATGGTTGCGCGTTGCTGTACACCCACTTGCTCCTCACAAAGTGTTTCCTAACAGGTGTTGGGCAGTACCTTCCAACCTCTGTCAATGAGGGTTTCTTCCACCAAGGTACTTGCCCATTGCGCCATGCCAGAGGGATTGATGCATTGTGTTCACTGATGCAGTGCCGGTGGCATTGCCTCCTTTGCTCCAGAATGTGGTCAAAGGTCATGGGGCATGTCATGCAGCTGTGGCATCGACACTTGGAAGCACAGTCTTGTCGTCAGCTGCTGTGGTGCCCAGTGATCACTACCAATTGCAGAAGACTTCCTCTCCAGGTCGTTCTTGCAGGTCTTTGGGAACTACTTGCAATTTGATGTAATGGCCACTTTGCCGTAGCTGCAAGGAATGCTTTCCCTCATGATTGGGAAAAGAGCATCACACAGAAGCCTGAAACATCAAGTTGAGCCTTCACATCACCGGTCCATTTCCCTGCTATTTTGCTCTGGTGTGGCGGTCAGCCCTCTGCATACTTGGGCGCATGGCATGCCGACCGAAAAAGGGTTGGCGTTGCCAGGCAAATTGTGTGCTGCGACGGTTTGGCAGGAATTGATGCACAGCAAAAATCCATGTCGGGTAAGGGAGGTTCGGACACACTGCTGGTTTAAAGTGTCACTTCGCCTGATGCAATTTAATTCCGTGGACCGTTGGGGTTTTTGACAAAAATCTTTTGATCCTACCGGTAGAAGTGGTCTGCAGGAAATAAAAAAGAAGTGAAAAAATATGCAGAAGCGTGCGAGTTCACTGTCAAAGCTTTTTTGGCTTTTTTTGAAAAGCTGTCCTCTTCTCCTCATTGGGGGGCAGCTGTATGGCAAGCTCTTCTATGTGCAGGAGCTAGTACCCAGGTTCCTAACCCCCGGTAAAGGATTGGTAGGGGTCACACTTTTTTCCCTGCCACCAGCCGGGTGGGGCGGGGGGGCCAAGCCAACTATCTCAGCTGGTGAACCCAAGGTGCGCCGCATGGGGGCGTGGGGAATCGCACCGATGCCACAATTTATTCTGCACCCATTCTTATTTTTAAATTTTACTTTTCCTGCAGAGATGAGCACCTAACTTACGTGCCCGACTTTTTCAGGGTTTTTTGTTCATTCTTCCGGGTGCTAAGAATAGCCAGAGTTCGTGCACTTTTCTTTGGTAAACCTCCAACAGCCTTTTCTGTAGCGTGGGCCGACAGTCCMCCCYCTMCCCCCCCCCCCCCGTGCCGTGGTGCATACACCAGTGTGACGATTTCGGAGCATCAGTGGGAGAGTTGTGGTTTAAAAGCAGCTTGGGCCAGTGACCTCTTACAGGTTGGACCGTGTAGTCGTGTCAACTGAAAGTTGGACCACACAGATTGATATGTTGCGCAAAAGGAAGGGCTGGCTCGGTCAACATCCTGTGTTTTCTGCTGCTTTGTCATTCTGAGAAGCGTCTGTTCTAAGGTCTGTCCCAGGAATGGCAGACCCCTATGCAAATCCACACTACGTGCGCTGATGTGCTGGAAAACTCGATAGAGCTTGAATCCATCTACATGAGCTCGCTGAAAACCATGAGATTGTTTAGATATGCTTTGAGTAGCGGATTCAGATAGAGGAGCTTCAGAACCCTTGTAAATATCTTCACAAATCAGCACAGAAGAACAATTTGTTGACTGTTGATGATGATATCTCTTTGATGGTTCAGAGGCGGCGATGATAGTGGGTGTTCTCTCAAGTAACTCTGAGCTCCCAGGGTAAGATCTACTTGTTAGTTTGCCCGAAATGCTGTTGCGGCCTTGACATACCACAGTTTAACAAATGCGAGCGTGAGTCTGCGTCCCTGCTGGCATGCCAAGAACATCCCATGTGTTACGATGTTTCCAGGAAGCTGTTGTGCAGGGGATGTTTTTACTGCGTGAACTGTCTCTAATGCCATCATCTGCCACATCCTCTCCATTCATGTTCCACATGAAATGGTGGACTTCTTCAGCCTGCACTTTGTAATTGAACCTTTCAATTCTTGCCGGACCAGGAACAAACACTGCGGCTTGAGGATCTCACATGGACCTTCTCCCACAGCTCTCATGAGAACCATCCGCAGCGTGCCTTACAGAAACGTCACTGGCCCCATGGGAAGCAGTGGCAAACTGAAGTTTGCAATATGTGACCATCCTTTTTTCGGATTCGGCCCTTTCATCGCCTGCCTGCAGATAGGCTATGTGGACTGCGGAATCCAAAGGAACTTGCTTTATGCTGCACTGTGATACCAGCCGGATGTTCAGCAATGTGACCGACATTCCTTGTGTCATGAGCATCATTAGGCTTAAGCCGATGCAAAATCCTGTCTTCATACCTATGGTGGTAGTTGATATTGTACTCATGTCCGACGCTCTCACGTGATGTCCTATCTATAGGCAGGCTCGGGAACAGCAGTGTCCATACCTCTGCAGGTGCTGTCGGTCTATGTTCCTGGCATGTCGGAACTGTGTTGCTTGTGACATGTCTCTGAGTCGCACCAATCAACACAGCGACTACGACTGCGGGAATAGAATGCGGCGCTACCACTGTCCAAACCCAGACTGGTCCGGCCGGGTCTGCATGGGTGTCCACTTACCGTAGGCAATGCCTGCTCGTCAGCTCATTTTTTGTTACCAACCTGACCCTTGACATGCCTCTTCTGCCAGTCTCTAGCATTGTGCTCTGTGGTAGTATTGTGGACTTCCTTCTGCTGCTTTTCTCCTCCCTCTGCGTTACTCCTCTTTCTGCCTCTTTCCCTCCCTTTGGTCTCCTACCTCCTTTCTTTCCCAAATGTAGAACTCAATACGTACAAACGAGCATTACTTAGTTAAGAGACAAAATGTAAGGCGCACTGCTTGAAGGAATTAAAGTGTAAGCATGCTGTGCTCCATTACGCATGTGGTGGGGCTTTCAACTCTCAGATTGCAATCGAAATGACTGTTTCATCAAAACGCTTGATTTATGGAAAATTTTCAGAATCATTTACTGTTATCGCATATAATGCTGTAATTCTATAGAGCCGGTATAGATGATCACAAGGTCAGGTCGTTTCAATTTTGGATCTTGGGATCTGCGCTGGGGATGTTCTTGTGACAGGGGCTTCAAAACACACACAAAACATACAAACGCACTAATGTGGTGGATGTTGCGTTCTGATGACCACTGCCGCACGCCCAATGTAGGATCTGGTCCTGGGCCACCATCTGTCCCGTCTGGTCGTACCCTGCAAGCTTCATCTGATCAGCTGTACCAGCTGTTCCATGCTCTGTTTACTGGGCCAAAAATCTCTTCTCCACTAGATGATAACCTGGAGCTGTGGCTATCGGAGAATGTCACATACGTGGCTGGATGACCTAACGTGAGGATCAGAGTGCTACTGGCAGGCGTGTAGAAACCTGGGAAAATATCAGCATATCTTGGGGGTTTCTCTGTTTCTGCTTCTCTGTTTCCACGGCTTTGGGGCTTCCAGCAGAAGGGTTTATTTGGGAATCTCTTCTTCGGGCTTCTCTTCTGGGGATTCTTTCAGCGGCTTTGCATGTCGTGCAGTATAGCCATCTGGCTGATCAGCAGCTTTTGATCTAGTTTAAACCGCCAGTACACGGCCACAGCCTTGCAGTCCAGAACTTGTCGCCAAAAAGAAAAGGAGGCTGAAACGCCGAACGCTGGGCCCGCCGTTGATATATTGGATCGGCGGTAGCTTTTTCTTTTCGCGCCTCCGGAATTCAAGGTGTCAGGCCCGCGGCCCAGGTAGCCGCGTACTGGTGCTTTAAACCACTACCGTCTTCACCCGAATAGAACGCCCGGTCATTATAGCTGTATTTGGTCGAAATGGAAGTCTAGATGCAGTGATAATGACCGGGCGTTCTATTCGGGTGAAGATGGTAGTACCTTTGACGGGTGGGAAAATAGAACTCCTAAAAAGTTGGAAGCTGGGCCCGGCGACGGCCGCCATTGATAAACCTCATCGGCGGCTGTTGTTTCGTCTTGGCCTCCTAAAAGATCGGAGGTCCACCCCAGGCTCCCTATTTTCCCAACCGTCAAAGGTACTAATGGTGCAATGCTAAACTGCTTGTCTGGCGAAAGCAACTTTCCAGGATCATAGTAAACCTAACATCTCAGAGTTCATAGTCGGCGTCTTGACGCTCTACAGAGTCAAACCCTTGCACATATGCTCACAATCGAACGCACAAACACACACTTCACACGCAGGCGTACATTGCTCCTCTCACCGACACTCTAAAACTGTATCACCCACAGGCGTACTAACATCCTTTACTAATTGAACTCCTAAGTACTTAACGAACCGCCAGAAGAGCCTCCTCACACACAGTTACGATTGCTCTTGCCATGAGTGCGCTGACTGAATGGTCGTGTAGCACTTCGCTTTCCCTCGGAATCTGCAAGGTTAAAAAGCCAACTTAATTGTCAGATGCACCATGTCTAGCGATCAGGATGCTGCCTGATCTTCCTCTGGTACATTTGCTGTTCGGGCTGGTACAGGGCCTGAACCCGTTTACTGGGCTGGGACTGACAAAGGGCAGATCTGCAAAAATGACAAAAAACAAGAAAATTGTGGAAATGGCCTTGAATCATTTCGCATTTTCTTCCCAGAATTTCTCGAATTTTGGTTTTTTATTTTCTCAGAAATCAGCTATTTTGCTCTGAACCGGACAAACCCATGTGTACATGTGGATATCTATAATGTCATCCTGAACAGTGTCCGGTCCGCTGGGTCTGGTAATGTAAGATGAAATTGAGAAGGCACGTTTCTCCGGTGAATTTACATTTTCTGTAGAACTTGCTGGTTTCTGCTAAGCTGTCGGCATCTTGGATGCTGATTTAGGACTGTTCTCGATTGTTGCTGATTTACGACTGTGCTCAATTGTTGTTGTTTTGCCCTTTTGCTCTGCACAGGATGCATACCGGTTACAGTTGAAGTTGTTCCTCACAGAAGTGCGTCAGCAGCAACTTGTGCCAAGCATTCGGAGCTTTCTCAAGCTGTACACAACAATCCCGATTTCCAAACTGGCATCCTACATGGACATCAATGAGAGTACACTCAGGTATGCACACAACCATTGTATCTTGGTATTTCATCATCTGTTGCTGACAATCATCACTAAGATGATCATGTGTGCAGGTCGCTTGCTTTTCTAAACAATGTACCTACTTGCTGTAGACACTTAGAACTACCAGTACTGTCCCTCCCCTATGAAACTCGCGGTGTTATATATGATGCAAAATGAAAGGTTAGGCTGGCAGGACCTTTGGAGATACTTGTTTTTTTCTGGGGGGGGAGGGTGCAGAAGCCCCGTGTATCCCAACGTTGGCGATTTGCTCTCTCTTTTAGAGGACCTGAACCATATTATATATCTCAGAACGATTTTCATTTCCTGTTTCGATGATGAAAATTTCTGAAAACATCAGGAAGGTAAGGTACATTCGTCTGCGGCAGGGAAAGACATTGAAAAAAAAAGCAACCTGTTTAGAACTTCACACCTGTGCAAAGGTTATTTTTGTCAAGAACCGAGTCCAAATGTGGATCAGAGTCAGCGTGAGGCCGGGCAGGCATCGCTTGGTATAGGTCCAGTTGAACTGGTGGTTTAATGATGCAAAAGTGGATTCTGTTGCGCTTTTTCCAATTTCGTTTAATTTCAATAATATATCTTCTATTACATCTGAAGGCATATCTGGCATACCTCGAATTAGTTCATCGACATGGACAAGTGTACATTGGCCAGATGCAGGCCAAGCACAGCAGCAGGCTTGTGTGATGGCGAAGTAACTATCTTTTCTATATCCCCCTTCATAGATTTGTGGTTGGGGGATGCCTTTACTACGCTCCTGCGCAGTGCTTTTGCCTGCTGCCAACGAGGACGAACATTCAGCAGAAGCCTAGACGTATGCAGCACTGATAAACGTGACCACCACAACTATGCAGCGCCGAGAGTAGTGCTATCACTAGCGGGGACTTGTTTGTCCCCCTTTATAGATTTGTGGTTGGGGGAGCTTACAGCATGTAATAAATGTATAAGCAGGTAAGAAGATCAAATGTAGGCTACCAACCTGCCTGGGCGGGCAAAAAACGAAGCTCCTATAAAGCTCCTATAAAAAACGAAGCTCCTATAAAACGGGCTAATAAGCTAAACCGGCTGATGCTGCCGGGATAACTCCGGGTTGAATTGTGAGGTCCCCGGCCTCCCTTTTAAAAAGGAATTAAAAAAAAAAAAAAAAGAAAAACGAAGCTCCTATCTTGGAAAACGGGCCGGCTAAAAAAAGAGGCTAGGATCAGAAAAAAAAGAAATCTGACTTTAGGCCTGGACTGTGATTGGTCTGAGCAGTCAGAATCGACCAAGTTACTATAAACAGGGTTTAAAGGGGTTTAAAGGGGTTCAAAGGGGTACATGATCTGAAGCTCTTGCATCTCATTTTCTGTCATTTTTTGTTTCAGTTTTATCTTGAAGTCGACAAGGAATTCAAACAGGAACCACAGCCGGAAGTTGTTTACCGTGCAATTTTACACAAATGTTTTTTTCACGATCTTTGTTTTTTGCGCTTGCGTTTTTTTTTTATTTTTTAATCTAGTGCACTGGATCAAAGATGTTTTGAGCGTCGTGAGGACTCAGGCTTGGGTAACGTCGAGGTAATCTAATGTGGCACGCTCACAAGTGGTGGAAAGGACGGTGACCTCGTGAACAGTGTCCAAGACAATTTCCATGGATGGCAGTGGGGGTGGAGAGCCCTGAGAAGGGTGTTGAGTTGCATGCAATGAAGGGGGTATTAAGTAAATAAAGTTAATGAAGGGTCCAGAGAGGTAGACACTGAGGTAAGACTGGGGGAGTAGGGGTGCACCCTGGGGAACATTGATGAGAGGAAGGGTGGGAGTGGGTCCCGTTATTATGATAACGTAAAGAAAATAACATAAAAACAGGGTGCAAGATGCTGTCGATGCAAGGTGGGTGAAGTATGTGTGTTGTGCTATGATGTGGGATTCATCCATCCTGTGCTAATAATTCTTGCTCGTCTCCTTTCTTTTTGTTCATTTGTGCATGAACTCAGGGCTGGCCTGACCTCGTACAAGCATAAGACCCATTCTGTGGATGCTGACAGGAATATTATATCAAACGCGGACATCGATTTCTACATTGATGGGGTGAGCTCATTGACATGATCTGAAAAATGGTTGTCGCTCTCCTGTATGGTGCCAAGGAGGATGTGCATTGTGGCAGTGCATCCAGTGCCTATGCTTTGTCTGCCATTCCGTGTCTTTTTTATTCTTTCTTTTTCGTTTTTTGGAAAAAAGTATTGCAATACGAACAACTTTTGGCTGAGGGTCACATGAGAATTCCTCACGGAACTGAAGATAAAAAAGAAATGCGATTCCCTGTCTATTAGTGTCTGATGTGTTTTTTTTTTTGCCCCGTATTCCTGCCCTGTAGTATTTTGCGCGCATTACTTCCCAGCTTAGGTGTAAATGTATATTGATTATTTCGCCTATTCCTGTGCTTGGCAGCATAAGTGTTGTATGAGCCAGCAAGAAAACAAATGAAGCTGCTCTCATCTTTGCATTCCAAGACATCTCTGGGAGTGCTCTGTCAGGAGCGGTGAGGATGATAAGGCACCCTTTTTTCTTCCTTTTTTTCTTGAGAAAACAGCCTGTTGTGCACTGCGGTCCGGTGACGGTACAAGCGCCGCCGGGATCGAGGGGCCGTAGCGGCAGGCTCCAGGTACGGGGGGGAGCTACATCTGCTGCTGTTTTGTTAGCATTGCCGAGTGCTTTTTTTTGTTTCTTTTTCTTTTCCCTTCTCCCTTCCTCTTTCTTTCTTTTCCTCTCTTTTTGTTTTAAAAGGTTGACGACTTTGAGATATCATCGTCGAATTGACCAGCCCTAGCTAACTCAGAGTTGTGGTATTTCACTCGCGGCTGCTTCCAGTGGAATTCGAACTCACGTCTGCATTTCAACAGTTCTGCGGTTTACCAACTGAGCAAGACCAGTTGGTGCATTGCAGAATTATAATTTCTTCTTATCTCTTTTTCCTGAATCTCGGTCGTTGGATGGGCAGGTGGGATGCTCGACTCCCGCTGTGCATATGCGAGATATTTGGATGCATGTCTGGTACTATTCGGGAGGACTGCTCCTCAGATGTCTCAGGATCAGCTGCCATGAAAAGCTTAAGAGTTGGCATGATTTTAAATACGTACGATGGTATCTAGCCAGCGGTTAGAGTAGTGAAGGATGACAGGAGTCTCGGACAAGGGGTGGTTTATCTTTTCTGGCAGGCTCAAGTGTTCCGCAGTAGACTTGTTACTCGCTGGTGCTGATAGATGCGTGATCGGTTAACCACAATGTGCATTTTGTGGGGGTTGATGTTTTGGAGCAGAGCAATGGATGATCTATTTGTCCGATAACCATTTGGTTAGTTCTGCTGATGGATACAGGTGTGATGTGTCTGCCTGTAATGTGGGCTGCAAGCCAGGCAATGCAGCCTGGTCGACAATAGAGTTCCTTCCCCCCCCCCCATAATAAGGACTTGTTCTTGAAGAGATAGTCCTGAGCTTGTTCGCAGACCTTCCTGGGATGTCATGTACAGACCAGCTTTTCAACCAGCAATTTGTGCAAAGGCCTACTGAATCTTGCGGCTGTGAATACAGGGGCCATAACCCGGACACTTGCAAAGTGAGACTAGTGGTGTGGTGGTCAGCAGGCGGAAAATTTCGCAGCATACTGGTAGGGGGAGGGAGACTCAGGAGGCAAGAAAAAGAAAGGACACTTTTGCTGATCGTTTATCTTTTGCCATCTTCTAGATATCTGATCTGAACCCACGGCGTACCCCCAGGTGCCCGGAATGATGCCCATCCTGTCCATTCGTGTTCCGGGGCAGAGGCGGCACTTTTATTTTCTGGGGCCCGCATGGCCAGGTTTTGCTCCTTGTTTCTTTTTGGCGTGTGCTTAGTGGTCCATCCTCTGCCTTACCTTGCCTCCTCCCTCTGTCCATCTCTGTTGCCTTCCTTCTCTCTCTGTCCATCACTTTGCTCCTCCCTCCTCCTCCATTGCCTTTCTCTCCCCTCCTCCTCCCATCTCCATTGCTCCCTCTCCAGTGACTCCCTCCTCCCTCCCCACCCCTCCTGCCCGCCCCACCGCTCTCCATTGCTCCCTCTCCAGTGACTCCCTCCTCCCTCCCCACCCCTCCTGCCCGCCCCACCGCCCTCAACACACACAAGCCAACATGTGGCAGAAAAAAACAGAGGCTGGTTTTGAACAGTACTGCCGAAGTGCAGTAAGGCACTGCCCGCAAAAAAGGAGCGGATTTTTTTCACGCCCGGGACACCCCGGGTGGGACCCCACCCCGGATGGGGCTCCCGGGGGGCACAGCGGGGCGGCATCGGGTGCTCTGGGAAACCTAGGCCATCTTAGAATTGTTTCTGGACTTCTGTTATGTTTTACTGGAGAATCCGGTGCCTAACCCAGGCCTGCTATTTTGTGCACAGTTGTGTGGCAAAAGTTACCGAACGTTTGCACTCAAATTTTGAGGAACTGCAGCCGACCCTGTGCCACAGGAATGATCGTCCCACCGCTGCAGCCTCCCAAGCCGTAGGACAATAACCAGGACTGCCAGTTTCCAATCGGCGGGGGGAATGGAGGCTTAAATCAACAGTACCTTCATGCCTCTTTTTCTTGATGTGGATTTGCCCTGCCCGCCAGTGTTGCATCCCCCCGACGGTCGGTGCCCTTGACTGTTCGGCTGGCGATCAGCTGACCGGATGGCTGGTCGGCACCTACCGGTCGGGGCATGTTGGAACTCCACAAAAAAAAAAAAACTACCGGTCGGGGCATGTTGGAACTCCACAAAAAAAAAAAAACTTACTTTTTTTTTTTGGGTCCAGTACCCCCAATAACCCCATCAACACCCCTCGTGCCCGGCCCCAATACTCCCACCATACAAGTCGATACAACCCCCAAATGGCCCCCTGAAGACCAACTGACTGGTTGGCTTCTCTGCACCTAGGGTTGGGGGTTGTTGGTACCCAACAAAAAAAAGCCTTGGGTCCAGTACCCCTCCGACTCCCCCCATTCCCGCCCTCAATACCCCCATACAAGTTGAAACAAGCCCCCAACACCCCCAAACCGGCCCCACTCACAGGCATCTCTCTAGCACTGGCATTGTTGTTATCAGTGGTCAGCCAAAATGGCCTCCGTCCTTCTCTCTTCTCAAGTCCCGCCGATTGCTCTCTGTGAAACGGTTTTCACCTTTTAGCAGTGGCGGATGCAGTACCCAGGGTTTGATCCCTAGACCTCACCCTACCCATGTACAGTATCTGTGTAGACCCCGAGAATTGAACCTGTAACCTGTGTATTCGTAGGCAGTTGGTAGGCCTGTCGTAGGTCCATAGGCAGCAGGGGTTCGATCTGTAGGTCTAYRGCGTAGGAGTCTTAGTGAGTTCCGGAAGCTTAGCTGTAGACCTTCTAGAAGGTAGGCAAGTGGGCAAGTTGTCAAGTGGAGAGGCAAGTGGTGGACTAAAGCGCAGTGCAACAGCAGTAGTTGTTGGTAGGATAGCGGTGAGTCCACAGTCAGCCAGCGGAAGGTCCAGTCAGTCCCAGTCCGGTCCAGCAAGCACCACAGGGGGACTGTGAGCACCAAGGGCCGATGGCAAAGGGAAGACCAACGAGTTTCTGAAGTATAAATCAAGAGGCAGCGCCCAGCCATTCATTGATTCCTGCGTGAGCCATGCTGAAGCGCTGCCACAGCGAATTGTGCAAGGAGGTCTGCGGATGAGCCCGGAGGACGCAGTGAGCTAGAGAGAGGGAGTTCACATAGCGATAGGGTAGATGTAGCGACAGCTGCCATAGCTGTAGTTAGTAGTGAGTGTGTGTGTGTGCTCGAGTGTTAGAGTGATGCGTGTGGGATATCCAGGGTGATCCAGTGTATGTGAACAGTGAGATGTTTGGCCACTGAAGTCGCCATAGCTAATTGAGAGTGAACTCGTATCTGAAAGCCATATCTCCGAGTTTTGAGTGGGCGCATGTCGCCAGTATGCTGCGTTGCTGTTTACATGCATGAAAAGTGTGTTTGAGAACGAGTCTGATTGCATCTGTCTCTCTTTACTCTCAACTAAGGTGTCTGAACACCTGCTGCTACTACCTATAGCTGGCACTCCCAGGCATCTCCAGCACTGACATCCTTGTTCTCAGTGGTCAACCAAAATGCCTCCAGCAGCGAATATGAATTTTCGGAGGCAGGGGATTTTTATTGCCACACCCCTGAACGGTTTAAATGCTGACCTGAGTTTGAACTCCACTGGAAGCAGATGAGTTATTCGTATTGGCTTGATTGACCATGCCTGCCTCCTGGTTCCTTGCTAGCAGGAATGGCTGAGATTCGCTTGTCTGAGTCGCTGAGATTTGGCCATGATATGAGACTCCATGGACGCAGGAGGCCCTGGATGTGTCGGGAAAAAGGTTTTAGCTCTTGAATTTGAGTGTGCTTTGTGTCTGAGGTTGACTTCTGGAAAAATCGTGGACTCTTGGACCCAGTAGGACCCGGAAGAGCATGACGGTTGACTGGTCTATCTCTGCGGTTGACTTTTTTAGACCCCCGGAACTCAGTCTGGGGCACTGTGCTGCAAAGCTGTTGCCCTCTACAAAGCTATGTTTAGTCTGGGGCACTGGGCTTCTTGGACCCTACAGCCTGAGTTGTCGTGCCAGAACTTTGGTTGGCTGAACATAGCACCCAAAGACCTCTGTAATGGTGGTTTTGACCGCTTATTCTTTCTAAAATGGGAACCTTCAGGACATCCGGTGAACTTGGTCGTCTATCGGTGAAAACCAGTAATGCAATTGTTTGGACTCTGTTAAAAGTTAAAGCTTAAAAGTTAAAACTAGAAGAATTGGAACACTTAAATTCGGAGCGATACAGAGAAGATTAGCACGGCCCCTGCGCAAGAATGACACGCGTAAATCGAGAAATGGTCCAATTTTTTTTTTTTAAATAAAAATTTGGAGCGATACAGAGATGACTAGCTCACTTAGCATTGGAGCGATACAGAGAAGATTTAGCGATGCCCCTGTGCAAGATGACATGCATAGATCGAGAAATGCTTCAAATTAAAAGAAAAAGAAAAAATGAACGAAAGAAAAAACATCAATGTGGAACTGTAGGGTCATATGCGGTAGGACTGCACAGGTGGGTTGAGGACATGGTCGATCCGGGCCTTGTCTCACCTGACTAGGGAGCTGGGATGAATAATGAATGGCCTGAGTAGTAAAAAGAAAAATTGTCTCTGGGCCATGCCAGTGCTAGGTCTGATCATTCCGATTCTGGCTGTTGTTCTGAAGACTCTGTTCGTCCGCCCCCCCCTCTTAATTGTTATCTCCTTTTCGCTGTGAAAATTTCCCACGAACTTTGAGGTACACGGAAGCCAACAGGGGATTGGTTTGAAATTCAACACAACATGACTGACGTGTATCTGATGTGTGTACATGGTGTTGGGTATTTAAAACCTGTGGGATGGCTTAAAGAGTCAATTCGGTAATTTACATGCGGCGGTGCATTCTTTTATTTAATCCCGGATATTCAACAAGTGGTGTTTGTGTTGGTTCGATGGTCTCAAATGGCAGGAGATGATCCATGTGGTTGAACCGAAGACAACGCGGCGGTTTGGGGACCACTTCTCGAGACACATCTTGAGGGTAAGTTCGAGGGTTTTCCTGAGAGAGGATGGTACCCTTCTCTCTCCGGGGATTCTCCTTCAACTTTTTGTTCGTTGGAAAGTTGGAAACGTGTTTTTTTTTTTTCTTGGCTATGTATTTCAAAAGTTCGAGGGTTTACCAACTGATGAGCTAGATTCGTTGGTGGAAACTGTTTTTTGCTCAGTTGCTTTACTCAAGAAGGTAATGACAAGAAGCTTTGTCGCTGGGAGGCGTGTCTGACAACATTTCGGAGAGCTGCAATGTGCGTGGTGAGAGGAGCTGGGAAGAAAAAAGGAATACACTCTCCTAGGCCCGTACCATGTTATGGGCGGGCGGAGAGCAGAATGCAGTGAACTCCTGTCGTTTATGGGTGTTGGGGACTCGGAGGAGAAGAAGACGAGGGGGAGGCGGAGGAGGAGAGAAGAAGAAGAAGAAGAAGAAGAAGGCAGGGCGGTAGGGTATGGTGGCGGGGTATGGCGGCGGGCTGCAGCGGCGTTCCTACAAGAAGAAGAAGAAGAAGAAGAATATGGGCGGAAGAGGAGGAGGAGAGAAGAGGAAGGAGAAGAAGATAAGGGGGAGGCGGGGGAGGAGAGAAGAAGAAGAAGAAGAAGAGATGAGCGGAGCAGTTTTTTTCTTTTTTTCTTACCTGTCGTTTATCTCACGACCTATCGCTGATGAATGGAACAAAAAAAAAAAAAAGAAGATAGTCGGAAGAGGAGGAGGAGGAGAGAAGAGGAAGAAGAAGAAGAAGAAGAAGAAGAAGATGATGATGCGGGCGACTCCATGACACTGGCGACGGGCGACGGGCGACTCCACGACGACGGGGGAGTGGAGCTCCCAGGCGATGGCGACAACGGGCAGTGCGAGGAGCGAGGGTGGCTGAACCATGAACGCAGGCAGCTGGAGAAGGGGCCCCGTTTGGACAGCCGATGCAGGCCGCCCCAGCCAGTCGGTTGTTCAAACAGGGCCTTGATTTTCCCTCCAAAAAACAAACGGCCCTCTGGCCGTCGATCATGGATGATTGACGGCCAGAGGGCCGTCACAAATTCGAAAAAAAAAACTGGCCTCACGGGCCCGACGCGCCGTTTTTTGGGCCTGGTCGGACCCGGTAGGCCCTGGGGAGGCCAGAACTTGGCGATTCGGGGTCGGAACTCCCCCCCCAACAAGGTGTGCTGGGGGTGCCCGGCCCCCAACCGGGCTACCCTCCCGGCCAGGCCGCCCGGGACCTCCCCCGGGCAGGCGCTGGTCGACCGGGCGGCCCAGATCTGTACACAGGTGAACTTGAAATTGGTTGTCGAGTGGTCTCCCAACCTCTTCCTTGTCTGCTATGGTTTCACTTATTTCTCTATGAAAAGGAGTGGTGGAGAGGAATTGCAAAAATGACACATACTCGGAAGAGTAAAATGCGGAGATGTTGGAGGGTGGTGTGCGACGCGTCTCCTCCGCGACTTTTGAAACACACCTCCTCTGGTTGGGAATCCATCAAGTTCATGGCCAAGGCCCTGTCATTATACTGCCAGCTCTGTGTGTTTTACCTATGTAAACTGCGTGATGTTGATTCCGAGGAAAAACCGATCTGAAAGAGGTTTGGCTACCTGTATGTTCTTTCCAGCCGCCAATAAATCGTAGGTTTCTGCGACCTCCTCAAGTCCTATTGAAAGTTTTCCCCCGCTTATATTCTTTGTGGGAAAACTGTAACAATGACATTTGTGGGCTATCGCCTTTGCATTTTTGTTTGCAATGCGGAATTCGTCAACCTTGAGGTAAGCACAGCACAGCACAGCGCCACAGCATGATATTGACTCTTCATTTTTTGGGGGGCTGGGTTGCGGGGAGCGGGCTTGGGTGGGGTTGGGGTTGCGGGGGTGGGGAGGCGGCGTGGGTGGCAAGGCAAGGGCGAGTGGGGGTGGGAGTGAGAGTTGAGGCCGGGTGGAGCTGTGAGCAGGGCCGGGGGCAGTTAAAGCAACAGCGATGTCATATGTGCTTGTTGTCTTGCTGTGGATGCTTCTGCACGTTCTAGGGACGCGATTCTTCTCATGCACCCTTCAAACAGTTTGTGACGTATTGGAGACCTGTGTCTCTTTTGGATCGATTTCTGCTTGGCAGAGATTGAGCGTTTGTCTGTTCTGTAAGTAAGGCTATGTGGTGTTTATCTCCTCTACAATGCGAAAGAGGGAGGTTCTTTTCTCTGCTCTGTAGTGAATTGGACAACGACAAGCTTCCTTGATGGGCAGTGTGGAGAGCATAAAGGCTGGTACAAGGACTTCCTGTGCGATTGGCCTAGAATACTGGCGCTGAGACTGTAACCAACCAATCTGTTGAAGAAAACACCGATGAAGCAGAAGACCACTTGTGAATAATGGGGCCTCACTCTACTATTAACATCCGAAAAGTATCTTGGACTGTGTTCAAGACCTGATGCAATTGGACAGATCGAACATTTTGAATGTAGCGGTCTCTAACAGGTGCAGACACAGTGTGTGTAGTAGAGCAAGCCCGAATGTTCATACTCTTAAGAATGAGGATCGGGAGGAAGCTTCAGGAAATTGTTTGCAATTGTTGTCTGTATCTGTGAGGTGACCGAGCTCCGTCACCTCGTAGTGCTTATTTTCTTGTTCATTATTCGATTTGTGGTATTGATTTGCATCCTCTTTGCTTTTGTTGGTTTTCCTGCAGTTTGAGGAGATTACCCGAGAGCTTGAACGTATGGAGCTGCCGGTATAATAAATTTTTGGTAGAATCGGCTTGCGATATTCTCTCTTCGATGAGGACTCCGGACTTGACTCCACTGATCAGGGAAGGTGTGCAGAAGGCTGGGAAACGGCTCTTGTCGAATAGGCAGGTAGGGGGGGATTGCGGACAGTAGATTGCCCAAGCCAGGGAGGTCTAGAGTGAGAGGGAGGCGTTCATCCCACTCAGCGTTATGATTTCCTTGTGACACGAGGTGTTTTACAGCCAGTTTTGCGTGATGTGTGTTGTATGGAGAGAGAGAGAGAGAGAGAGTAGTTGGTTGAAAAGACACTTTCATATGCATGGTAAACTGTATCCGGATATCCGGAGGAAGATTGGACGGCTTGACATGGTGAACGGCTGTGGGTGCAGTGCAGCTGGCCTTGTATATGTCTGTCACCGTTTGTGTGGTGAGTGTAAGTGAACTCCCGGCCTGGAATTTTGGGTCCATTCGGTTTTGTCTATCATTCTGAGAGTAATGGTAATAGCAGGGTTTTTCCTGCTACGTGTTTTTATAGTTTCGTGTTACTGTTTTGTAACCTGTCAACAGTTTTCTTCGTACTGGAATCATTGCTCTGATTAGTGGTATGGAATCTGAGAAAGCCTCATCCGTAGACAATTGGCCGTGTGCGCGTATGGGCTGATAAATGGTATGGTTCACAAGGAGTGTACGCGCGAGCGCTTCCTTGTGTGTGTATGTGTGTGCGAGCGTGTGTGTGTGTGTGTGCGTGTGTGCGTGAGAGAGAGAGAGAGAGAGAGAGAGAGAGAGAGAGAGAGAGAGAGAGAGAGAGAGAGAGAGAGAGAGAGAGAGAGARCGTGTGCCTATAAGGTTTGTTTCAGATTAGGTACATGTATGTGTGGGTGTGTGGGTGTGTGGGTGTGTGGGTGTGTGTGTGTGTGAGAGAGAGAGAGAGAGAGAGGTGGCGTGGGGGCATTGTTGCGAAAGAGGCAGGGGTAATACCTGAAGGTGCGTATGAAACTTTTTGAGTGTTGATTCATTTGTCTGTTTGCAGCAGACCCGATCCCTTGTATTGTGTTTTGTGCTGTTGGAAATCTTTCCTCTTTGGATGCCAGGATATCCATTGAGGGAACATTGTTTCAGCTCTTTGGAGTTGCTGCTTTCTCGTCAGGGAATGTGTACCTGTTTCATACACTCGGTATCTACATGTGTGTATGTCAGCTCATCCCATTGCCACCACATTTTAGAACTGCCTCCAAAATGATTGGACAGTTACTTGATATGGAATCTATGGATACCATTTTAACTGAATTCTGATCTGGTCTGTGTGGGGCCCAATGCATGACTGTCAGAGTATGTCTGGCTGGTGAGAGATGAGTGTGTGGGGTTGTGAAAAGTTTTCGTTAATTAGGCTTTCTCCTCTTTGTGGTGTCTCAGCCCACTATCTCAAGACCATGAAGTATATCGGACAACGTATTGTGCGACCAATCGCTTCAGTGAGTGAAATGGATGGCTCCATTCACGAACGGATTTGGGGTAGAGTTGTAGATGAGTGCTCGCTTAGGACCACCAGAAATCTTTTTCCGAAGGGTGGAAGTCTCGAAGACTTGCTGCACCCATCGACGTCCCAACGCCCTGTGTAGTATGTGAGATTATGATAGAAGAGCAGGGCGGATGCGGAACTTTGTGAAGGTGAAGTCCAGCGCCTCGTTGGATGTGCTTCCTCCTGCAGTGGGTAAGATGTGTGCTCATGGTCACAAGGCTTTTGTTTTTCTAGCTGTTTTTTTTCTTTTTTTTAATAACTAAAAAAATGCAGGCTGTCTTCTCCTCGTATGGGGCCTCGTCAACGTCACAACGCGGCGTGCAGTATGTGAGATTATGATGGAAGAGCAGGGCGGATGCGGAGCTTTGTGAAGGTGGAGTCGAGCGCCTCGTTGGATGTGCTTCCTCCTGCATTGGGTAAGGAGTGCGCGCTCATGGTTATGAGGCTTTTCTTTTTCTAGCTGTTTCTTTTTTTTTCTTAACTAAAAAAAGTGCAGGCTGTCTTCTCCTCCTATGGGGGGACAGCTGCATTTACTAAGCTATTTTCTTCTCTCAATATTTTTTCCATCTCACACTACCTACCTCGGACTGTGTACTCGAACTGGTCTACCCACCTTCCGAACCTGCAAGGGGCACGGGAAGCCAACCAGCAAGGAACCGAGCGCCAGGGTTTATTGTCGAAGACCACACACCACCTACCTATGGGCGCAGAGTTAAATTCGCCGTCTAGAGCTAATAAATGCTAAGTTCATGGGTCTACGCCTACCTATCTCTGGTCTGTGCCGGGAGCAGTACCCAAGCGCCTAACACCTGGCGCAAGCTGGGAAGAACCAACTACTCCCACGACCAGTTAGGAGCTGGCTGTGTTCTTTTTTCGTTCCTCTCTCCTTTTTTGTCAAGGGCGACGACGTCGAGGTGCCATCGTCGACCTTTCTGGCCCAAGGTTACTCGTTCAGGGTCCCACCTTGGGTCTGTTTTACCAACAACAGTTCATGGGTGTACCATGCAGCAGCCACACACGGTCAGTTCCTTGCAGTCGCTGAGGCATGTCTGGGCCCATTGTCGCTAGACTGTTTTTTTTTTTTTTTCCAACCCAAGACTCACTCCTGCCCCTTCTATTCTGGGGGGCGACAGTCCGGTTACTTAGTACCGGCAAGCATGAACCAATGTTGCAGATGCTCTCTTTCTTTGTATTTTGTTCTTCCGTGGCGGCGTTGAGGTATTATTAATGCATTGACTGAACCCGCGTAATTTTGATGGCTTCGAACTCCAGGTATGTTTATCGACCGTTGATGGATGTATCATTTACTAGCGCAAGGTTGGTTGCTGGCACAGCTAAAATCACCCCTAATCGATCACTGAAGTGCGCAAGCTATCTCTCTTTCTTTCTGAATACCATAGCTTCTAACATTATCGCATTCGTCTGACTCACTCAAGAGTTTGAGCTTGTAATGCGTGCGGGTTCGATTCCCTCAACAGTTTGAACCTCGAACTTGAACGTTGGACTTCGAACTCGTTTGGGTCTGAGTCCCTCAAGAGTTCGAACTACGAACTCGTGTTGGTGGCTCTGACATGAGCCACAACTATTGTCTTGCAGAACCTTGGGAAGCAAAGGAATTATGTATGGATGAACCGCAGGACCGTTGGTGTGGGAAGCGAGCCTCCTGATGGTGGAGGGTGGGGGGGATGGAGGGTGAGGTGGGCAAGGTTTTGGTGGAGGGTGGGGGGGTGGAGGGTGTGGGGGATGGACGGTGGGGGGGACCCTAAGGGGAGGCTCACGGGACACAAGACGCGGCCCAGTGGAAGTCCAAGGGAAAGCCCAAAGGAGCGCACAAAGCTCCAGGGGAGGCCTTAGGGGTAACTCAGTCAGTGGCTCAGGGAAAGCACAAGGGAAGGGTAATGGTGGAGGGTGGGGGGGACCGCAAGGGGAGGCTCACGGGACACAGGAGGCGGCCCAGCGGAAGCCCAAGGGAAAGCCCAAAGGAGCCCACAAAGCTCCAGGGGAGGCCTTAGGGGTAACTCAGTCAGTGGCCCAGGGAAAGCACCAGGGAAGGGTAATGGTGGCTAAGGGCATGGGAAGCAATGAATGTTTGGGAGTGCCAAGGGCGAAGTCGTGCAGTAGGTCAATGGCTGGTCGCTCACACACGCCCGCCCGCCCGCCGGCCCGCCTGCCCACACGCCCACCCACCGCCCACACAGGTACACACGGCCACCTGCCCACCCACGCACAGTACTGGCAATGTCCTTATAAGCTCTTCTCCCAGAGTGCCCCTGAACCAAACACATTTTTGTACACAAAGCAGTCGGCCAGATTTGGGATGTGCTGATGTACTGGGGGCCCTCTATGCATTCGAAGACTTCTCCTGATCTCTAATCTCTCAACTCCTCTCGACTTCCTTAATCGTCAATATTCTGTAATCCCTGGCCCTCCATGTGATGCAGGTCAGCAGATATTGCCAGAACAATATGAGATTCCAGGAGGATGTGTGTACAGTACTGCATACACATATATACAGATCCTGGTGTAATCCTACGTCTTGCATTTTGTTGTCTCTTATTTGTTTATCTTTTCGACTGTCTTTTTTGGTTGGGTATTGGGTCTCGATCCGCGCAACGAAGATAACCAATGTCTTGGAAAGGTGTCCAGCCTCACTTCGTAACTGACACATCCTGAGGTCTCTGAAGCTCAAGGCTGGACGGAGGCCCATTTCCGTCCACTACCTCAAAGTTTGTTCGGAATACCAATTGTGTTTTATCTTGGGGTAGAGCGTGTAGGTTCCGGGGGTTTTGAGGTGTGTCGTATGCGACCAGTTTTTTAGATCCCCTGTTGCATGTTTTTTTTTTTTTTTTTTTTTTTCGTTTTGAAAAAACTGACCTATATTCTCTCGATATACCTCCCACTAGCTACATATATACCACTAGCTTAGCCTGGGACGCTGGGGTTATGGGGATTCCCGGCCTCCAAATTTTCACCTCAGCATATTCCGCGGGCTGT